CATGCTGCCGCCGGGGATGCCGCCGCTGGTGCAGCCGCCCGTGTCCCAGCACGTGTTGCCGCCCTTGACGCCTCCGCCCTTCTCTGCCGGGCTCTTGGCCGCCATCAGCCAACACGAGCAGAAACAACGCGACACCGGCGCCGCGCACGGCGCCGCCCACGCCCACACCGCCGCGTCCTCGGCGGGACACAAACCCTTCCACAAATCCTTCCAGCTGCCGGCAGAGGAGCCCATCAAATCCCCGTTCGGGGTGGTGAAGGCGTCCTGGCTGCCCGTGTTCCCGAATTCCCAGAAGAACAAACGCCTGCCCACCCCGTCCATGATGAACGACTACTATGCGACGTCGCCGCGAATATTCCCACATTTGTGTTCTCTGTGTAACCTTGAATGCACTCATATGAAGGTGAGTGGCTTTTCCCAGATTATTCCCAACTTTTTTTCCTGCCTGCCGCCGGTTGTTTTTTTTCCCCCTCCCCGGGAATTCCGTGGATTAGGATGCCGAGCGCTTTTGGGATCGGCGTTAGAAAAGATTGTAACGGCGTTGTGTTGCGCATTTCAGATTGAAAATGTCGATTTTTTAAATTTTAATTATTATTAATTATTTTTAATATCAAAACGAATTCTGAATTTTGCAGCGGGTTTTTTAATTAATTAATTTCCATTAATTAATTTTTTTGTGTGTGTGTGTGGGGGGGACTGCAATCGTTTCTCGGGGTGGGTGAAATATTTGTGTGTTCATTCCTCCCCTTCCTCCTCCTCCTCCAAACTCTGCCTGAAAACAAAACGAGATTTAAAACCCGAAATTTTCATCTTCCGAACCCGGCACGGCGCCGGATATTCCGGAGAATATTCCGGAGAATATTCCAGAGGGAAAACGCGTCCCGTTCGTCCCGCCGGGCTCCCGGCCTCGGAGGAAATCACGGTTTGAGCTCGGAAAGGAAAAATAAAGTGAGAAAATGGTGGATATTGGGAGATAAAAAAAAAATATTTTGGAAGCTTTCCCGGAAAATCCAGAGGTTTGATCCGTCAAAAAAGACGGGAGAAGGTGCAATAATAATAGTAATAATAATAATAATAATAAAAATAGTTGGGATAATTTATTAATGATTATTGAACGTGTTTGAAGCGCAAAGTGTGGAGAGAGGCTGGAGGGGAGGGATTTTTTGGAATTTGGTAAAATCTTGGAGATTTCTAGGATTCATTTTGTGCCTGGAATGAAAAATCTGATGGAAAACGGGAACGGTTTTTTTAGGGATAAACAACCAGAAATTCCCAAAGACTTTTTGTCAGGGAAATGGGAAAGGGGAGGATGATTCCCAATAAAAAATGGGATAAATGGAGCAGGGAAACGCAAGTGGGGGAGGTTTTACCAAAGGAAAAAGGAATTTGGGAAAAGGGAATGAATTTAAATGGGAAAATCCCGGGAATTTAAGAGGGAAAATCCGTTGGCGAATCGGTTCTGGCTGAGGTTTTCGGGGTGGATGAAAAGTTGGGAGATCTTTTCCTGGTGGGATGGGATGGGATGAATTCCCAGAAATCCTGATCCGACTGTAGCTTCCCAAATCTGCTCCGGGCCGGAAGTTTGGTGTTTATCTCCCGGGGACACGATCCAGAAGGATTTGGGAATTTTTATCCCTAAAATAACGATGAAGAAACGAGCAGCTGGAATATCCAGGAATTCCAGAGCTCCGAGAATTCCTCTCAATCCCAGCTCCGGAGTTTGAAATCCTTTGGAATCCGCTGGGTTTATGGGGTGGTCGGAGACGAGCCGGACGTTCAAGGTTTGTCTTCCCAATTATTCCTGGATGGAAACTCGGGGTTGGAAGAGCCACTGGATTCAGCCATTCCTGGTGATTCCCGGTGATTCCCAGCGATTCCTGGCGATTCCCAGCGATTCCTGGCGATTCCTGGTGATTCCCGGCGATTCCTGGCAATTCCCAGCGATTCCAGACGATTCCCGGCGATTCCAGACGATTCCCGGCGATTCCCGGCGATTTCTGGCGATTCCCAGCGATTCCCGGCCATTCCTGGTGATTCCCGGCCATTCCCGGCGATTCCCAGCGATTCCTGGTGATTCCCGGCGATTCCAGATGATTCCTATAGATTCCCAGTGATTCCAGACGATTCCTGGTGATTCCCAGCGATTCCCAGCGATTCCCGGCAATTCCCAGCGATTCCCGGCCATTCCCGGTGATTCCTGGCCATTCCCGGCCATTCCCGGCGATTCCCAGCGATTCCTGGTGATTCCCGGTGATTCCAGACGATTCCTGGTGATTCCCAGCGATTCCCAGCGATTCCTGGCCATTCCCGGCCATTCCTGGCCATTCCTGGCGATTCCCGGCCATTCCCGGCCATTCCCGAGGACTTGAGACATTTGATTTGATTGGATTTGGGGTGGTGGCACTGGGATTGTCACCGCTCCGTGTCCGGGTGGCGGCGGCGGCCGCGCCGGGATCGGGATCGGCGCCGTTCCGACGTCTCCGTCGCCGACGAGGACGCCGGGATCGCGCCGGGAGGGATTTTCCTGGAGAGGTT